TGAATCACCTCACACTTTTCAGGGTTAATCTCCATCTGCCACTTCTCAGCCCAGCTGTGCATCCTATCAATGTCCCTTTGTAACCTACAACAGCCCTCCGCACTGTCCACAACGTGACCCACCTTCGCATCGTCAGCAAACTTGCTAATCCACCCTTCCACTCCTTCATCCAAATCATTTACAATCATTTATATTTTTGACACTGATCGCTGTGAATATGAAAAGCCTGGAACAAGAAAAGGTGAGAGACCAGGTGGGATCTTTTATTATGCATTCCAGCATGCTTATTTCACCTCTTAAGGGAAAGTTGTGTAAAAAGTTCCCTGAATCCCCAAACATAGTCATATCTGCCAATCTACAAAATGCAGAAAAATTATTGAAATTCGGCAGAAAAGTTCACAACTCAAAAGACATAGGGTGGAAGCCAACCCTGAATAAAGGCCAACGACCAAGGTCACTGCTTTAAGGCAACTGAATAAGCCTAATTCCTTTTTTGTTATATTGGATTTCTGGATGGTTCTGGAGTGTTTTACTCCATAATTTAGTTTTTCCTTCTGTGATAACTGACACCCAAAGTTGAACCTTTCTAACAGAGAAGGAGCCGGGACTGAAAGGGGGAGCTGACCCCACTCCGTGGGTTAGCATATTACCAGGGGCAGCCAATGAAGAATATACAAACAGGGAGCGATGGCCCTTCAAGCTTGCTTCGCTGTTCAGTAAAATCAAGGCTGATCTGATTTTTAACCTCAACTCGGTATTCCTGCATATCCCCGATTTAATCCTCACCATCCCGGTAATCAAAAGCTATCTACCTCTGCCTTAAATGTCTTTAAAGATTCTGTATTCACTGCCTTTTGAGAGAGGGAATTCCAGAGACACTCAACCCTCTGGATCATGAGGGGTATAGAAAGAGTTAATGGTAGGTGTCTTTTCCCTAGGATGGGGGATTTCAAGGGAACACATTTTTAAGGTGAGAGGAGAGAGATTTTAGAAAGAATTGGGGGGTAAATCTTTTACGCAGAGGGTGGTTTGCTTGTGGAATGAGGAAGTGGTGGATATGGGCACAGTTACAATATTTAAAAATATATTTATTAGGAAAGTTTTGGAGGGATATGGCCAGGAGCATGTAGGTGGGACTAGTTTAGTTTGGGATTGTGCTCAGCATGAACTGGTTGGACCGAAGGGTCTGTTTCCATGCTGTATGACTCTATGATTCAAAGACTATGACTCTGAGAGAAAAATGTCTCCTTATGTCTGTATTAAATGGGTGACTCCTTAAACTATGACCCAAGGAGGCTGCCACCAGGATTGCATTCCCACTGAGAAATGTATCCTATGTTGTCCCAGAACTGCTGGCCCAATTGGTAACGCCACCATCAGAAATTGCCACTGTGAGACTTCTAAATGTAGGAGAGAGTGCCTCTGTGACCGAGCTACCACAAGGAATTGTTTTCTTCCCCGGCAAACTCAGACCAGGCTTTAGTGGTGCAGGTGAAGAGTGAGCCCTTTAACTGGCAGCAGCTCCCTCTGTGGACCATTGACACAAGATGAAGGAGAGAATGGTCCTTAATTAGGCACTTCGTGGCCACCAACTGTGACAATTGTGCTCAGGCTCCAATAGCTAGCAGGATTTCACATGAGAAGATGTTGAGGTCTCCTCCAAGGCCTTCCATTACCATTTTACCAACCCCACCATCTCCCAGCCCATCAGCAGAGGCCTGATAAAGTTCAGCCCCCACTGCCCTGACCTATCAAGCACTAAACAAATACAATTGGATACAAGGTATACGAGGATGAAATCATTCACTTTAATGCTTTTCCCTTTTTAAGTTAAAATCAATGAATGGTATAACAAGTGTATCAAGTGGTGTCTGTCCTTATTTTCCCAGTTCAAGGACACTTTGGCAGATTCAACTCCTCATATTTTAGAGATAGGGGTCACTTTGACTTTGGTTGATTGTGGAAAATCTGCACAATATGCCTATCTCCTTGTTTTTTATTTTATTTATTGGCCCTCCTCCTTCTTGCCAAGTGAATTTTCTATTGCTGTCCTCTCCTCAACCCACCTCTCCCTTGCAGTTGTTATGTTGATAGGAACGATACAGATTGACTTGCATGCTGTTTTCTTTCCCCTCCTTCTACTCATGCACCCCACTCTCTGAGGAAATGCCTTGCCTGTCTGTAGTGTCATTCTTCCTAGAGCAGCAACCTTTGATAAGAGTCCAGAGCAGCACTGGGTTTTTTTTATCAGATGGTATCAAAACCATATGAAAGTAGACAGAGTTGCCAATGTATGAATGTGAGTGTTGTCTGTATTATGTCAAAAGTGTCTTCTTAATGAAAGACAGCAAAGGCACGGGAACTTTGCACAGAAGGTAGAAGACTTTCTATTGTTCGATGATTAGAAATTTTTGATTGCCATGCATAGGATATGCCTCCAGGGAATATCCACTGTTGATTCGAGACAAGTTAGAGAACAACTGGACCAAGTACAACTGGGTCCTGGCCTAATTTCTAGTGTTTCTGTCACATTACCGTTATATGTGACGATAGGAGTATAGCAGGAAGCCTGCAGTTAGCAGCAATGTTACAATTTTGAGTTCATCTCCTTACTATAGACACTGCTGGGATGTTATTAAATGACAACAAATGAAATATTGGGTTGTCTTTGTTCAGTTCAGTTGTTCATGTCCCAGTAAGATTTGTTTGATTATAAATTGACCATATCAAATATCTGTTTCAGTAAGTGGAAAGCAGACAACTGTGGTATATTATCTAATGTGGCCTGTAATGGCTGGGCAGGAGCAATATGTTTAACTGAGGCTATGTGTACTGCCCATGTGCCATTATTTTCTCTTACAGATAAGTCTGACCATCAAAACAATATTGGCCCATCAGACCACTTGACCAGCAAGCACCACCACAGCATCACACCATTTAAACAGGCCCAAACCAGATATATGTGCACTGAAGGCCTTTGGTAATTTCAAAAAGGAACCACAGAATGGGCTTTTTTTTTGTTATCTAGTCGAAGCAACAGTGGCAGCTGAGGAAGTCCTGTATTATTACTAGGGTTTGCATGGGACTAACAGCACTGTTGATTTATATCTCATTCCAATCTACTGGCAAGCTAATATAGTCAGATGAACGTTGCATTGCTGTGATTGTTACATTGCTGTGATTGTTGCATTGCTGTGATTGTTACATTGCTGTGATTGTTGCATTGCTGTGATTGTTGCATTGCTGTGATT